TAAACTTTACCTCTTTTATTACCAGAGGAAAATTAAAAATAGTTTCTCCTGCTGTTTCTTTAATTCTTAAAGAATTGGAAAAATCCTTTCAACTTATTGCGGTCATGTAAAAAAAAGGTGGGTAAGTGGATGTCGCTCTGCTGTACAGTAGGTTACAAGTGGGTCACTGTATAATGGATGCTATTAAATTTGAATTCAATGATATAATATCATTGTATAAGAAAAACGATTCTGAGCGAAGACGGTATGTCAGTCTAGGTTTATGATAAATTATATACAAATCTATGGTATTAAAAAAAAATTGACCTATAATAAATTCCAAATTAATCATATCACATTATCACAATATCCATTAGGTACTTATAACACGTTATACATCAACATCAATAACAAACCCTGATACTATCATCGATATATAATAATACACTTTAGAAGTTTCAAGTAGGTATCCCGTACCCACGAATAATATTATATAATCACAACAAAATAACTAGGTTTTTTAATATGAAATTTCGTCCAAATTTGAACATAAAATGACTATAAAAATAAACTGTGATTGTATATTTTTTAGATTTTTCGGTAAGAGAATTAACTACTTACGTAGAATCTTGTTTTAAATTTTCAATCCTTAGCTATAAAAACTGAACATTTTATAATTTATTAATTACGATGATTAATAATTTCCGAGATTTTGAAAAATTCTGTCAAAATTCGATGTAAAAATGCTTATAAAAAAAAATTGTGCCTATGTATTTTTAATATTTTTCAACTGAAATTGTAACAATATATCAGGAGCCTTGTATTAAATTTTTACACTTTTTGGCCCAACAGATAAAACTTAATTGATATTTATAGAAAAAAAAAAACTAAAAAAATTGAAAACTGAAAATGTCCGTAAACGGCTCAAAAAGAGTCAAAATATTTTCAAAATTGTATGGTGTATAGGAAATGCTAATATAAACATTCAGTGAAATTTTCATGTATCTACAGTAATTCGTTTTTTAATTACAACAAAAAAAGGAAATTGCCACATGAGAAATCGAGTGTATATCCAATGTTGTAAAAATTTGAATTTCAAACGCTCATAAAAATTTAATTTGACTTTCCGGTAGAGATTTTTTTATTGATAAAGGTAGACAATCTTATGAGTAATCTTGTATTAGATTTTCAAATCTTAGATTTAAAAAGAAAAATTTTGACGAATTCTTAACTCAAAATAATTTGCTAATTTTCGTGATTTTTCCATATTTTGTCAATTTTTGAACTTTAAATGCTTATAAAAAAAAATTGTGACTAAGGATTTTTAATATTTTTCATCTGCCTTTGAAACAATATATTAGGAGCCTTCTATTAAATTTTCAAGCTTTCGCAACCAACAAATAAAATTTTATTGATATTTCTAGAAAAAAAACTAAAAAAAAACGAAAAATGAAAATGTCCCTAAACTGTTTAAAATAAATCAAAATATTTTGAAAATGTTATCGTGTATAGAAGATGCAAATATAAACAACCAGTGAAAATTTCATGTAGCTACGGTCATTTGTTTTAAAGTTACACCAAAAACCAGAATCGATTTTTTGGAAAACCGATTTTGCGTAAAAATTCCCGTTTTTCCTTAATTTTTATGTTGTTTTTCCCGGCGCTCTTGAAAACTACTGGGAAATTTAAATTTTGACCTCCCCAATGCACCAACGATATTCACTTTCCAATCGAACAAGATACTGAAGTCGAAAATCGAAGCATTATTTCGACTACTTATCGTGTACACAGACACAAAAAAAATAAATATAAAAATAAAAAAAAAATAAAAAAAAAAACACACATCATTGTAAAATCAATACATTCATCGTTTCACTCAGAATCTAAAAACTACATACAAATGTAAAAACTAATATTTTAATGCTAGCAAGGAAGAATTTATTAAATAAGTCAAATTTATTCTTTTTTCCTAATACTCATCCTATAAATGTCGAACTTGGTTCTCCTAGTCATGAGCATAAACTATTCTCAGCTCTTAGTGACAGCTACATAAATATTAGAATGCGACATTATGCTAAAGAAGTTAATGCAAAGGAAGTATTAAAAAATAAAAGTTCTTTAAGACAAAAATTAACTAAACTAATATTATTTCAAAATGTTTAAAAATTAAATTAAAATTTGTTTTAATGTTTAAAATGTAAATTTTATAAAGATATTCTATATTTTGTTCTAATGTTTTTAAATTGTATAAATATTATATTGTATTTGTATTGATTTAAAATAAATAAATGTTATAAATATATCTTATTTCTTCTTCTTTTTTTGTGTTGAATTTGTATTTATTGTTTCCCATTTCCTACATTACCTATTACAATATTATATTTTAATATTCCAAATTAATTATTTATAATATAGTAATAAGTACCTACTTAAAAAGTTAAATTTTGGAATATTGTTGTACTTATTTCAATACAACATGGTATATATGGTATTAACTATTAATTTTAATTTAAATGGATGACTGAATGACTGATTAAATTATTTATATTCTATAAAATTTGGATTATAATAGTATTGCTTATGTTTAAAGGTAACTACTGGTTAGCTGTAAACAAGATAAATGTCTATATTATTCGTTTTATACTTTTGTCATTTGTGTAGCTATTTATTTTTATTTTTCTGTTTAAAACTATATCGCTGTATAGTAGGCTTGTTAACAAGTACAAATAGTTTTTAATTTTTAAAATCGGACGAGTGGAAGTACTTAAATTATTATGAGGCGTTTATGTTCTCTAGTACGTTCGCAAGTTTGCGGCTATTTTTTTTGCCCTGCATAGGTGGGGGTAACGTTCAAGACATGGTTCGTTTTCGTCTCACGGACGATATAATTGGTAAGAGCGCGCTCCAGTATTGTTTTGTTTATCTATCTCAATAGTATTGTCATTGATTTTAGAGTAGGTATATTCCACGGACCTTTATACGTCCGTGGTATATTCTTAAATCAATGGTATTGTTTATCTATCTCGATGTTTACAATTAAAAAATCTTGTAAGTCACGAATTCACGATAACATAAAAAATGTACCAATTAATAATTATCATCACGGCTATAGATATATCACGAGCGTCTCACGCCAGCATGTCATTTTGGCATCCGGTGCGCGCGCATCACGTCGGCCTCTGGCATTGTTATCATATTATTTATTTCATGTTATCACACTAATCTAAATAGGTAGTTTAATAAGTTTAGAATTGTTTTACATGCATTCATTCATTTGTATTTTATTCACTATTTATTTGATTGACAATATCATATACACAGTAAGAAATTTAGTTATAAAAAACAATTATGTGTTAGAATTTAGGAAGAATTCAGAAACCTCATTTTTTTTTATTCAGATTAGGGCAACAGCACCAGTAAATTAACGCTTAAGGGGTTTTCAACATTACATGGTTTATATATACTTATAATTTAGTGTTAGGGCCTTACTTGCTATATGAAGTTTCTACTAAAGAATGTCTGTAAAATAAAAATTTAAATTATGTAAAGTAAATTTAACTTAAGCATTAATTTTAATTAATTATTTGTTTATAAAAACCAGTTTTCCTAGTAAATGAACACATTTTTTCAGTGAATTAACCATCATGTACCTGTTAATGAACACTTAATTTATTTTTCATTTAGCTATTTCATTGAGCTTATTTTTATCCAAAAAACGTTTGTTCCAAGTGTTCCTAACCGCTCCGCAAATCGAAAATATCCCCCGACTTGCTGTGCAACACCTCCCCAAGTGGGTCACAGGGTTGAGTAAATTGCATTTTTGTTGCACCGAGCCACCAATTTGAAAAAAACATCGTACAGTGATGCGGTGCTAGCGGCACTCGTCGCTACGCTCCTCGGCGCCGTCGCTCCGCTCCGCAAATCGAAAATATCCCCCGACTTGCTGTGCAACACCTCCCCAAGTGGGTCACAGCCCACAGGGTTAAGAAAATTGTTTTGTGGAAAATTGTTTTGTGGAACAAAAGTAGTACTCCCTAAGTATAACATGAAATAAATAATATGATAACAATGCCAGAGGCCGACGTGATGCGCGCGCACCGGATGCCAAAATGACATGCTGGCGTGAGACGCTCGTGATATATCTATATATTCATATCTATAGCCGTGCTTATCATTACTATACTCAGTGTGCACATTTATAAAAAAAAAATTCTTTATTTTGCCATAGCAATGTTGTTCTCGCAAGTTGCAGCCATTCGGCGTCTTCTATCTCTATCATTATGTCCATGAAGACTAGAGATAAGGAGGCCAAACTCTACCACAAAAAACGTCCCGTAAAACATAGCGCACTAATTTCTCCACCAGTCTACGTGGCGGTCAAATCCGAGTATAATTAACCCGTATTAGATAGGGACATACTCGACTTTATTACATTTAAAAAATTATAATTAAAAAAATAATAATCGTATTTAAATTAAAATTACACCATCGTATTCAGCGCAAATTTATCTTTACGTTTACATAATTATTATATAGAATTAGGTATTTTACAATATAATTTATACATATTTACATTTATACTGGTGCATATTATTTTCTAGTTTGACGATACCGATTGATTACATCAAATTGAGGAATTATTGATAAAAAGCTTAAAGTAACTTTAAGCACTTAAAGTTTTCGATATTTTTACGTGTTATGTTCTTCATTTTTTTAAATTAAATTAAATTAAGTTTTAGATAAAAATAGATAAAAATGAGTCGAAATTGTTATGCCCCTGGGTGTTCAACTGGCAATTCTAAAGAAAAAAAATATAATTTGTTAAATGGCATTCGAAATAAAAGTATATTTAAAGCACCAAAGGTAAGTAATTGTATTATTATTTATTTATACAAACATGGGCGTAGCTAGGATTTCAATCAGGGGGGGGCAGTGATGTAGCCAACTTTAAATCATTAAAACTCAATTTTTTTTTAAAGTATTTATTTATAATATATTATTCATTAATCATTATTTTTAAATTATAACAATGACAATCGTCTAGAGTCTTCGCAAAATCTGCTGAGAATTTTCTGTTGCATCTCTTCCTTTTTTTCATCTAGCAGCTTTCTATGCACACTTAGTATGCATAGACCTGAAATAATTTACATTGTATATGATTAATATTAATATAATTATTAATTAGCATTGATATAAAAAAACTATTTTGATTTACCATTCAGACGGTTTTCCGTCATCGTTGAACGCAACCAAGTCTTTACCCTTCTTAACGTACTGAATGACCTCTCAATAGTGCTAGTTGTACATGGCTGAGCTAAAGAAATATGCAAGGCTTGTTTTATTTTAGGAAAGAAAATATCTGTTTCTTCTACTACTTCACTCATTTCCATGTCTGATAGTTTGCTTTTAGCCAGTTTTTTCTCCTTCCAGATGTTGTACCATAATTCTGCTTCACTTTCCAAGTCTTTAATTTGGTAATAATTGGCAAAATCATTTATTTTAAGTTTAAATTCTTTGGTGTTCATATCTAACATATTTGAAGGGTGTAATAATAAAAGTGAAAAAGCAGGTATGTTTTCATCAGAAAATCTCCGTTCCAATGAGGATATTAATGAATCCAAGTATGGAATTAGTAATGATCTCTTCCAGAATTCAGCCGAATTTAACGCTGGAGGATTCGAACGATGTTGTTGTTGTTTAACAATCCTAGGAAGATTAATTTCTGCTCCTATATTCTCAGCTGCTATGTTTGCAGCAGTTAATAATTCTTGAATTTCTGTGTCAGCGTGTTCGCGGTGATCTTTCACTATGACTACTATTTTTTTTATAAAATTTGAGCATTTCAGCAAATCCAGATTTTTTGATTGTAAAGCATTCACAACAGGCTCTAATAATTTAGAGTATTTTGCTATGAGGATAACACTCATTATAAAAATACTTTTATTTGCTACAGCATGTATCGTTTGTATCGTGTAAAAGGTTTGATGATAAATGAACCTAAAACACCTTGGACTTTTTTCACAGTACAAACAAAGAGCTCCTTTCAGTATTTTCGAATACGCAAGCCAAGGAGCATAGGCCTGTAACCAACTATGGTTAAATTTTCTCTTTGATCCAACAGCAATAGCATCCTCACTAAAGTTGTAATTTTCTGGTGGCGTCCAACAACGTTTCAAGATATCCATTTTTTGAGATGTTGTTAAATGATTAGACCGTCCCACCCATTGACCTATGTCATTTTCAAAACGTTCTTCATTTGTAAGCTTTTTAGAGGTTGAAGGATCTGCATTTCTGGTATTGCGATCATAAGAAGTGGAAGGTTCGTTGGAGGATTTGGGAATTTTATATATTCCTTCATGTTCATCACTTCCGCTACTACTTATTTCTGGCAATTTTCTCTTTTCTCGACCTTAAAAATTACGAAGACTTATGAAATAATGCATTAAAAATTTGTTTGTTGTTGATAATTTATTAATAATAAATTATAAACATAAAATATGCGCTATGACACAGAAAAAGTTGTTCCCTATGTATTGTGGAATTTTGGTAATTCTACTATAAATACCAAGGGAGTGGTTTTGTCCCGCGCAAAACAGTTTTTCGCTATATTGTATGCTTGTAAGACGAAGACAACGCATGCGGGTATAGCGTCCTCTTAATATATCATAGTTGCGGCAGGCGGCGGTCACAATACATAGTGTATATATTATATAAGTAAAAGACTTTGTACTTATTTATTTTACTTTGTAACTATTTATAATTCTAAAACAAGATATGTACTTACCACCAAAAAACTTTCTTATGTCCATCGTGTAAAATAATATTAAATGTAAACGTTATATATTATATTCGTTACTTACGCGAACACAGAACGGCACGTACTGCTGTCTGCTGCACTTGATTGTTGACACTATCGCTGTTGATATTAATGTATAAAGCACATAACGATTAGCGTTTAACTCATAATTCAAATAATCTTTAGATAGACTAATCGATAAAATATAAAACGATTACACGTGTAGATATCACTAGGTCCCACTAAACTATTTTTAGACTTCATGTACTTATATCATATTTAATATTTCAATTTTAACGTAAAACTTACACGTGTGATATAAGAAATACAATTTAGTTTGTAGTGCAGGGGGGGGCACTTGCCCACCCCTGCCCCATACTCGCTACGCCCATGTATACAAATACCCATAATAATATCCATATTATTTTTAGGACCCTGAGCTTTTAAATAAATGGGCCAAAGCGATCCCAAGAAAAGATAAGGTACTAACACCAAATTGTGGAGTATGTGAATTACATTTTTTAGAAGGTGATATTGAAAAATATTATGAAATAAAGCTCCCTTGTGGTAAAGTTGATAAAATAGAAAAAGGAAAGCCTACGTTGAAATATAAAGCTATACCTACAATCTTTCCCAATCTACCATCTTATTTATCTACTGCCCCAGCAAATAAAAGAAAGTCCCCACAAAAAAAACCTGATAATTTTATTTGTACAAAGAGACCCAAGCTCCAATTGTTGGCTATAGATTCTACCAAAGCAACAGGAAATACTCAGGTACAATATTCTGAAACATCAAGTTTAAACTTTAAGTTACTACTGGACCTTAGAGATAAAATACATAAACCTGACAATAAATGGACATGTGGCTTACTACCAAACCACATTTATTATGTACGTTGGGAATTAGGGTCAGAAAAAAAAATTACTATAGATGAAAATTTAAAAATCCAGGTAATATTTAAAAAAAATACTGTACCTTATTAATTTTTAATTAATTAATCATTCTGATGACTATATTTAGTCATACCTGTATATCTACATATTAAGTATACCTATTTGATTGCTAATGCTAGTTATGTAGTAATATTATTAGTGGTGGGTTGAACTGCTTCGACATTTACATTTGAAGTTCGACCCACCTTTAAAAATAATAGATCCCTATTATGTTTAATCCAACATTTTTGTTTTGTCCAACAGATTTTTTTAAACAATAGTGAAATCTCTTTACAATCTTTAAATTTTGATGAAATAACATGTATAAAAGATTTAAATGCATGTATTAAAAAAGTTCACGATTTTATTATTTGTCAAGGGACGTTAATGCTTCCAAATAATATGATTGGGTAATTTAACTACCTAATATTTATATTTCTTAGTAAGTACCTACATTCAATTATGACGAATTATTACGATGACTAGCAAAGAAAAAACAAAAAAAAAACAGGAAAGTATCTAAACTGTAAATAATAATAAAAATTATATTGTAAAATAATAATATATAATAATTATGTAAACGTGACGGTTTACATTTTTTTTAAATTTTTTTTTACTATTTATATGTACATATATTACGTAAATATAGAACATTCTTAAAGATAAATTTGCGCTGAATACGATGGTGTAATTCTAATTTAAATACGATTATTATTTTTTTAATTATAATTTTTTAAATGTAATAAAGTCGAGTATGTCCCTATCTGATACGGGTTAATTATACTCCGAGCCAGCCTCGGATTTGACCGCCACGCAGACTGGTGGAGAAATTAGTGTGCGATGTTTTATAGAACCAAATTTTGTGCAGGCGGCCAGCAGAGTTTGGCCTCCTTATCTCTAGTCTTCATGATTATGTCTATGGTCTCTTTCATGAACTACTACTGTAGTAGTTCATGGTCTCTTTATAGACGCTTGTTAACAAAATATGTGATATTATAGGTTATGAAATATGAAATATTTAAATATCAAAAAATATTAACAACCATTCATAACTCATAAGTCATAGTTCATAAAATTAATTAATAGTTAATAGTAATTCAAGTGTTCAATTACAATATCAAATCAGGTAAATAATTATAAATTATAATAAAATGTCAATATTCAAATTGTTAAGTATAATAATATGGTTAGGTTCAAATTAACTGTGTGTGAGCCCCCATTACACTCTGAGGAAGTAAAACTTCTTTCATAAGTATTGGGGCCCGTGAAATTATAAGCTAATTAGGGAGAAAGTGAGAAAAATCAATATAATAAAAATAATCGTGCACACCGCTGCCACCCGCCCCCGGCATGACAATAAATAAATAAACAAACAAGAGTGTTTTATTTTTCATTACAATTTTTTTTCCAACCAAACATTAAGAAAGAAGTTTTACTTCAATAATAATTACAAAATTATAGGTATACACAATACACGTCATAAAACACAACAATGTCTTGCATAGATACAGCTAAATAGTTATAATAAAATGTCAATATTCAAATTGGTTATTTATAATATAGTTGGGTTCACATTAATTGTCATAATCATAATAAATAAATAATAATTTCAATATAATTGGTATACACAATACACATCGTAATACATAAAAAAAAATTAATAGTTTATAAAATTGCTGTGCATAATAGGCATTTACCATTTTTAAAATTTAACACTTATCTCAGGTGTCTTACATTCTTTCGTTCATCAACAATAAGGATGCACTTATATTATTCTTTTCGATTTTGTTCGGTACTAAAATAGTTGAAGTTGTAAGCAAAAACAAAAAATAATAAAAAGCCAATCGGGGGGGGGATCTGACTCCCATGTTCCCCCCTTATCTAGACCACTGGTTTAAACTATATGAGAAATTAATTTTTAAAGTCACAGTTATTATTTAAGCAATTGTTTTGTATTCACTTTGTTGATAGGCTTTGGAATAAATTTTAAAAAAAGGTTGTTCAGGAAAACAATTTTCTTATCCCAAAAAAATTCTCGAATTTGCCTCAACTTTACAATATTATATAACCCGGGCATACTTATACGTAAGAAAATCATTCTCAAATATTTTACATCCTAGAACATTAAGGCAATGGTACATAATAGTAGATGGTAAACCAGGTTTTACATTAGATGCATTAGAAGCAATAAAACAAAAAGTAGCTGCTGGTTATGTTTATTGCAATTTTACTTTAGACAAGATGTGTGTAAAACGCCATATAGAAATTGACACTCATCAAAATGTTTATGGTCACGCTAACATGGGTACAGTGACTGTGATGAAATATCTGTAGCAAAAAATGTGTTAGTTTTTCTAGTTGGTATGAAAAGATATTGGAAAATACCCGTTGGATTATTTTTTAACTGATGGCTTGACTGGAATAGAAATAGGAAATCTACTTGGAAAAGCTATTGGACCTTATTACTGAAATCGGAGCAAATCTCCATTCAATAACCTTTGATGGGGCTTCAGTAAATCTAAGTATGTGTACTTCATCAGGTGCTGATCTTATTACAAAAACCCCTTATATTCAAAATCATACAAATAAATTTGAAAAAATTCTTTTTTTTCATGACCAAGCACACATGATTAATTTAATTCGTAATACATTTGGTGATAAAAAGAAATTGAAAAATGGGGATGGAAAATTGATAGAATGGAAGTTTATAAAAAAGTTGTTTGAAAAAGAACAAGAAGACAAGTCTTAAAATTAGCGACAATATGAACTTGAAGTCATGTAAAGTACAAAAACGAGAAAATGAATGTTCGTCTAGCTAGGTATTGTCTTATTGAGTAAAAGACAAAAGTGTAATATTGTGATTTGTGATGCTTTACTTATTTCATGTGTATCGTTTATATCATTGTTCTATACAGATATATAAAAATACTAGATAGACTCCCTATTCCTACAATGTAAATTGTAATAATTATGAAGCCGACAAAATGGCCGAAATACTCTTATCTAAGTGGTGAATGTTTACAAAATATAAATTATGATAAACTGTGATAATTTTATGGCGGGAATCCAAAACTATTAAATATATTGTATTACAAATTACAATATCATACATTTACAAGTTACAACACGGATTAAGATAATATACTTATATTTTTAATTTTATAGAATATCTTAGTCCTTGACTTAAAATTAAGATTAAAAGTATAATTTATTGCAACAAACGAGAAATACAATATAGATATAATTAACAAGTTTCAAGCTCGTCCAATAAGCACTGCTTGAATTCTAATGATCTGAGTTCATATTAAAAATGAACTAAAATGAAAATAAATATAACTTTATGTTATGTCATATTACATAATAATAAAGAAAAACAAAAAAGAAGAAAAAAAAATTTAATTTAATATTAAATATAAGAGAAAATATTATTAATATATATCTTATACTTAGTGAAATTATAAAATTTGTTTAAATTAATATAATATTTATGTAATAACAAAACTCTTCTAATTATTAGATTTTGAGTTTCAAAATAAATGCCATTAAATGGTACAATTATTTTATGATCTTGTATTTATAACAATACAAAGGATGTAATTTACTTGTATTAACTTTAAACATATGGTATGGTACAATTTGCAGTTCCTAAGTTTTGACCAAAAGTTCAATCCTTAAACTCTTGGTAAATTATATTAGTAAAATACGATTTAGTTTTGTAACATTTTTATTACTTTTAACAAATAATTTACAAACATTAAATATAAAAAATCTTGATTTAAAAATAATAAACCTGTGTAACAATAAATTTGCATTCGATAATAATATTTTTAATACACTTCAATGTGATAATGTTCCTTTGCTATATAGACCTCACAAGATGGTATTAATTTCATTATTAGTTAAAAAATATCTAAGTATTCGACTCCATTCTTTTGGCAGAATGTTTTCAACAGAAATTTTAAATCCGGTTAGTAAATGACAAAAATTAACTAAACAAATAATTTTTATGAATCAGTAGTAGGTATAAAATATTATATGTAGTATAGACTATAGGTACCAGTTTTTATTTTAAATATTT